TATTTTCTGGTCTTATCATTCCAAGTCTATTGACCCAGAGACTTAAAAACACATATTTTATGGACATAGAAATGATACAGAGGGAAGGAAATAGTGCTTGGCAAAAAACAAAAAGCTTTTTAGATAAATATTTTTGTTACAGCATACTGGATGCTAATTCTTCAATGAATTGAAGTAGTGAAGTTACCACATTCTTTAACAGAAATCCCCCTAATCCGTGATATATCTTTCATTGCCTTCATAAATGCATCTGGGGCATACTTGGTTCAGGAATATCCTGTTCCTAATTCTTCCATATAACTCCATATAATAACTCACTATCTAGTTTTCCTTCCCCTGTTCCTTTGGCTTAAAGAATTTAAATATCTTTCAATTTGACACTTAAAAATTCTGAGTAAATCCTTAAATAATCGTTTCCATTCTTACTCTTCTGGTGGATATTCTATCAAACAAAGGTATTTTTTATTATTATTATTCATTTCATTCTTGAATTAGGAATCTGAACTACATGCTTTCTGAATATAAGAACTTCAAATAACATCTGACACCTCCATTTGTTATGGCTTTTTATCCCTGGGTTTCTATAAAAAAACAAGATAGATCTTTGTGGTATAATAAAAATTTATATATTTGGGTTTTCAAAATATTTTTAAGGTTTTTATTTTTTAAGTAATCTCTACACCCAATGTGGGGCTTGAATTCACAACCTTGAGATCCTGGGTTGTATCCTCCACCAAATGAGCCAGCCAGGCACCCCTATGATTGGTTTTTGCCCTGAGTTTGGTCCTTGGCTCCCATAAAACCCTTGGAATTTCTGGAGGGACTGAAGTGTCTTTTGTTATTCATAACAAGGCTCTTTCCCTTATACCTGAGCTTATGGTAATTAAGTGGTTGTTGGTGGGCCCTTCGTTTGAGGGGGGGCTGGCTGTACTCAAGGAACTTTCCAATTCTTTCCCCCCCCCCCCCCATCCACTACCCTCCACTCCTCAGGGGAAGGGAGGGGGCTGGTATTGATTTTACCACCAATGGCAAATCATGCCGTTGATCAATCATGCCTAGCAATGACACTTTGATGAAAATTCCTGAATGACAAGTTTTTGGGGGAGCTTCTGAGTTGGTGAACATTGATTTGCTGGGATGGTGGTGCACCTGAAGAGAGTATGGAAGGTCTGGCCTAACCTTGTCCCAACCTACCCCATGCATCTCTTTCATTGGCCTGTTCCTGAGTTGTATCCTTCATAATAAAGCTGTAATTGTAAGTACAGTATTTTCCTGAGTTTAATGAGTTTTTCTAGCAAATTTTTGAACCTGAGGGAAGGTCATGGTAACACCAAATTTTGTAGTTGGCAGGGCAGAAGTGCAGGCTGTTGTCTGAAGTAGAGGCAGTCTTGTAGGACTGAGCCCTTAATCTGTGGGGTCTATACTAACTCCAGGTAGTTCTTGTCAGAGTTGAACTGAGTTGTAGAATACCCAGTTGATATGAGAGCATTGGAAAATCAGTTGTGGTTTGGAAAAACAAACGGTCCTTCTTAAGCCTTCTTGTGAAATAATAATATGCTGTAATTTTTGTACTCGTAGAATGAGAAACTCTATAATGCTAAAAAAGGTTATAACGAATTTCAGTAATGGTTTTAAACTAACGTGATTTTAAATACAGCTGTAATATATTTGGGGAAAAACATAAGGGGGAGATGTTGTTTAGTCTAAAACAATGCATGGGCAAACAGAAATTTGTTTTGACCTTTGCAAATGGGGATATCTAACAGTGATACCAAAGTAAAAACATGACACACCTTTATAAACCAAGAGTTTTATACCATGTTCAAAAAATTGGAGAAAAGATAGAATTTTATGTCTTATGGGCAGGGACCTTGTCTGTATCCTGTTACCTAGACTAGTGACTGACATAGTAAAGGATGAATGAATGCAGTAAAACCAAAACAGAAAATGAGTATAACATAAAATTCACAGAAGTTTAACAATTTACATAAGACAATAATGAAATATCAGGCTTTATCCAGGCTGTTTGAGTATTGTCATTGTGGTAGGCTAAAAAAATGATCCTATATATCCAGGTCAAATCCCTGGAACTTGTGAATGTTACCTTATTTGGAAAACTAACTCTTTGCAGGTACAATTTAGTTAAGGACCTTGAGATGAGATTATCCTGGATTATTCAGGGATGGCCTAAATCTAATCACAAGTGTCATTATCATAGACAGATGAGAAGGCAATGTGAAGATATGGGCAAAGACTGAAGTGATATATGGGGTTCCTGAGTGGCTCAGTTGCTTAAGTGTCCAACTTTGGCTTGGGTCATGATCTCACAGATCTTGAGTTCAAGCCCTGCCATCAGGCTCTCTGCTGTCAGCACAGAGCCTTCTGTGGATCTTCTGTCCCCCTTTCTCCCTCTGTCCAACCCCCCCCCCCAAAAAAAAATATTAAAAAAAAGACTGAGGTAATGTGGATGCAAGTCAAAGAAGCCAAGGAACACCTGGAGGTACTAGAAGGTAGAAGATAAAGGAAATGAACTCTCCTTTACAGTAGCCTCTAGAATAAACATGGTGCTGTCCGACTTTGGACTTCTGGTTTCCAGAACTGTAAGAAAATATACTTTTGTTCTTTCATATTTGTGGTAATTTGTTACAGCAGCCTTAGGATACAAATACAATAGCTGATCTTTGTGGGTTCATAATCATGTTTTTTTTTTTTTCTTTAAAAAGTTTCTTTGCAGGAAGAATTTTTGAAGTTTTCCACATGGCTAAGACTCACAGGCTGGACCCAGTATAGAGGACCTCCCATAGGGGCCCTCTCATGTAGAAGATCTCATAATTTACTGATCTTAGTGTTAAAAAAGAAATAACATGTCCCAATGGAGTCACTGGTGCTAAGTCCACATCACCAAACGGAGACTTACTATCTAACCTAATTGCAGTTTCAGCCTTTCCCAGGAATATAATCGTGGTAGGTCAATCAGGAATTTCCTGGTTAGCACTAGTGAGGTAATCTGCCTGAAAGACCCCCTTCCCCAGAGATAGGTTTATGACTTCCTTGTCCCACCTCCTTTGTGCCTTTTAAAGCCTTCCATTTGTACAGTATCTTAGAGTTCCTTTCTATTTGCCAGATGAGATGTTGCCCAATTTATGAATTGTTGAATAAAGCCAGTTAAATCTTCAAATCTATCCAGCTGAATTTTGTTTTTCAATGGTAGCTTTCAACCCTAGGCAAGGGATAGACTTGTTTTGAAGTCAAAAAGAAAAGGTATGAGATTTACTTGACAATTTAAGCAACAAAAAACAAGTTTGGGGTGCCTGGGTGACTCGGTCAGTTGAGCGTCCCAACTCTTTGATTTTGGCTCAGGTCATGATCCCAGGGTTGTGGGATGGAGCCCTATGTCAGGCTCCGTGCTGAGTATGGAGCCTGCTTAGGATTCTTTCTCCCTCTTTCTCTTTCTCTCTCTCTCCCTACCTCTCCCCCTCTCTATCCTTCTCCCCCACTCTGTCTCTTTCAAAAAAAAAGTTTGAAAGAATATCTAAAGGTATGTCAATTATTTTAATTGATATCACATTGAGTCATGAAAAAAAGTATAGAACTTGTAAGGCTGCATTTACCCATATATTCTTAAAAATTTTTTTTTAATGTTTTTATTTATTTTTGAGAGACAGAGCACCAGTGGGGGAGGGGCAGGGAGAGAGAGGGAGACACAGAATCCCAAGCAGGCTCCAGGCTCTGAGTTGTCAGCACAGAGCCCAACTCCAGGCTAAAACTCACCAATGGGGAGATCATGACCTGAGCCGAATTTGGATGCTTAACTGACTGAGCTACTCAGGTGCCCCTTTACCCATGTATTCTTGATCTACCTATACTGGCCATCCCCCATTATGTTCACGCCATACATTTCAGTGAACAGCCAGCAGGCATACTTGTTAAGGTACTATCATAGACATCACAATTAGGACCAAAATCATCACTTCTGTAACTAAGCAATGAAGCATAATGAAGTTGGAAGATTATGATTACACTTAATTCAGACATAATACTTTTGTTTGAAGTACTTTCATTTGAGGATTCCCTTTAAAAAACCTGTCCAGTGAATTCTGTGCTTACCATAGGCTGTACTATATTAAAATTGAATGGTGACATGATTGTTTCACTTCATAATGGCCTTTATTTTGTAAAACAATTTGAAACAATAAGGTAAAATTCTACTTCAAAACGAAAATAAAAAAGTAAATTTCCTAAATAGCTTTCTTTGATTCAAAATAAATCAAAACCCACAACACTATAGATACCATATCTTAAATTTTAAAGTTAATTTTGGATTTATGAAGAATGACTTCACAGCTTTTGCGGTATTTGTTTTTGCAACTAACTTTCATCCTTTTATGAGGTAATGAAACAACTCATTTGAAAATAGGAAAAAAACGTCAGAAACAGACGTTCTAATTTTGTAACTTGGTAACACAAATTTGACACTTAGCTAGTTGAATATGAAGGATCCAAAAAGGTCTGCGTTGTTCCAATAATTGCTTCGATTTTTAAAAATACCGTATTTGCCCTTTGCCCTTAACAAATAGATCTCAATGTCCTCAGTAAATAAATATAAAGGCCTGACCCCTTCAACTTACATAGCGACGCATAAAGGGCTATTATTACCACGAGCGGCACAATGTTGTCATTAACAGCACTTCCCCATTTTCAAAGCCACGGCAAAACACCTCCGAACTATTTCAAGTTTTATGTTCTCTCACTTTTTTTATAAACACAATTCTTGTTTTCTTTGCAATGAACGTTCTGCGTTCGGTTCCTTTTTTCTTTCAATTCTGGATGTAAACCTCCCAGTCACACGATTCATATGGGTTCCTGATCAGTAGCCTAATTTTAAGAGGACATAGTTAGGCCCTCACTTCACCGAGAGAGGCACACCTGTCCGACCGGAAGTTGCGATGACGCTACCATCTTTATGTAAACATCCCAAGCACTTCGATTCTCTTTCAGACAGTCTTTTTTTCTTCTCCGTTTCGCCACGATGGTGGCTACAGTCCCGACGCGCTGTTTCCACCGGCCAGTGAGTCTCTATGAGCGTCCCTAACCCCCTAAAGAAACAGGTGTGGGGCAGGGCCAAACCCTCGAGGCCAGCAGGGGAGGCGTCGCGTGGGCCTGCACGGCTGTTTAACTACACGTGGGCCGCGCTGACCCGGACTCTGCGCTCTGGGGCCGCCGGTCTTGGGAGCACGCGCGCGGCCCCGCCGATGAGACCGGCGGCGGCGCGGGCAGCCCGGCGGGGCGGGGCGAGGCGGGCCCGGCGGAGCAGGGGCCGGGCGTGCGGAGGTAGGACCCGCCGGCGGAGGCGGGCTCTCCGCGGCCGCGGTTGCCGCGCTCTCCGCTCGCCGCGCTCTCCGCTCGCCGCGAGCCGGCGCTCCGATCATGTCCTGGTGGCGTGCGGCGCTGTCGGGGACGCGGCTGATCCGGCGCGGGAGCGGCTCGGCGCGCCAGCTCGGCCGGGCGGCCGGAGC